TTTTTTTTTTTTTTTTTTACTGTGACTTTATAAAACATTTTAATATCTGGTAGTGTGAATTCTCCTTTTTAAGTTCTTCTTTTGTGGAATCACCTTTGCTAATTGTGGGCCTTTATTCTTCTTTATATATTTGGAAACAGTTTATCAGGTCCCCTGCCTTCTCCTCCATTTCCTCCCAAAACATATATATATATATATATATATATATATATATATGAACTTGTCATGGGATAATGGAGAATTTCCAAAATAGTGGGGGCAGGATGGGGTCTCCTATCGCATACAGGCACAATCTTTAGTGCACTAAATATCTAAATAGGAAAGCGTGAAATGATAAAGCCAGCAAAGATTCAAGATTTAAGTTTGATGAAGGTCACCATAGATAGAGTTAGCAAGTAAGTGACAGGCTGGGAGAGATTGCTTTTCGCAATAGCCCAAACTGCCAAAAGCTTATCAGCCAAGGAATTTCTAAAAGAGCGAGAAGAAGGCAAGAAATGCATTGGGAAAATGGGCAAAGGTTATAAAGAAGCCAGTCTCAGAAGGGGAAATGCAGATCACCAACAAAAATAGGGAGAATTTCTCAATTGTCGCCAGCAAGCAGAGACAGGCAAATCAAAGCCAGGGAGTCACTTCACCCTCAGGAGAGTGGCAGATGTTAGCAAGTCACAGCCGAGCATCTTAAAGTTCGTGTGCCACAGGTGCTTTGCATGGCGCGTAGCACAGAGAGGGCCTTCTGTGATTGATAGGTGAACGCTACCATCAGCTGCTCCTGCCCTAAATTCTCACCTCCTAACAATGAGACCCGATTCGTGATATCCCTCGTTCTGTAAAGACATGGAATTGGTAATATCGTGTTGCTTCCACATTTTTGTGATTGGCCGAGTTCCTGAACATTACCAGAAATGACGTGTGAGATTAAGGATAGTGGAAGGCTATTTTTCACTCTCTTTTGAGTTGTTAATCCTGCAGTTCTGAAACTGACAAAGCATGGCCTGCAGGCCCAATCTGGCTGGCTGCTTGTTTTTTATGACTGTGACCTGAGAATTGTTTTTGCATTTTTAGCAGTCATTATATAACGACCTAAATCATGTTCTCGACTTTGCCTCTTGGCCTACAGAGCCTAAAATACTTAGCTGATCCTTCACAGAAAATGTTTACCAACCCTTGCTCTGGTTCATTCATTTCCTGACCAAATATTTACTGAGACCTATTGAGGACCAGGCATTGTTCTAGGTGGGGATAGGGCAGTGAACAAAAGAGGCAAAACCTCCTTCTTTCACGTGTTTAAATTCCCCGGGAGGGAGATGGATGATAAAGGTAAGAAATGCAGCATGTCAGATAAGGGCTATGTGGAGGGACAAAGCGGGAGAGAGGAACAGGGCAAGCTGGAATGAGAGGATTTCTAAAAAGCATGGCTGGTATTTAGACAACAGTGCAGATGTCGCTTCGACTAAGTGTTTGATATTATTGGTTGATGCATAATCAGGTTCTTGTTGAGGCTTTGGGTGGTGTTCCCACGCTCTCCTTCCTGAGAATGCACTGGAATACCTCTGTCGGTGCACATCACCTCTCTGGCCCGGCTTGGCCTTGCATCCTCCTCTTCTTATCACAGAACTTCTCTTTATCAGTCCGTCCTCATCTCTTTGCTTCTTCTACCTACAGGCTGACATCGATGCTTGCCAGTTTCTTATTCATCCCGAAACTGTTTTTGGTGAATCTTTCCTGCTGTCATCTCCTTCCCTTAAGAAAATGTTAAAAACCCTAACTTTAATTTTATTACGCCATCAAAATATAGCAGGGGAGCTAAATACCTCACACAAAAATACGACAGACTTCAATTAACATTTTGGAATGTAATCTCAGACATAGAGTTTTATACATACTATAGTTTATAAATATTTTATAATATTTTATATGTACATATATCTCATGGGATCATACTTTAGGCTATTTTATAGCATCTCTTTCTTCACTTCTTGCATATTGTGACTCTCTTTTCATAACGATAAATAGATCTCTACCACATAATTTTACCAACTGGCATCAGACAGGAATTGCATTCAACTACGAGGTGAAGCACATGTAACTCAAGTAACTTAAGGATGTAAGAAGTGGTTTTTGTCTTTTCTTTTTGTTTTGTTTCTTCGTGAAACAGGAAGTCTGGAGGTCGGCAACTGCTAGCATTAGTTCAGTGGCAGGTGGCCCAAAGACGTCAAGGCAAGTTCTCTGTGCATCTCTTGACTTTTTTCCCCCTAGTCTCAAAGTGGCTGCTGCTTTTCCATCCATTTTATCCACAGTCTCCTTGGAGGGAGGAGAAAGGGGAAAGGAAACTGTGTTTGTTTCCGATTGCTGCTGTAACAAATTACCACAAACTTAGTGGCTTAAAACAACATAAATTTATAATCTTATCATTCTGGAAGTCAGAAGTCTGAAATCAGTGTCACTGCACTAAAATCAAGGTGTTCACAAGGCTGTATTCCTTCTGAAGGCTGTCAGGAGCATCCATGCCTTGTCTTTTCCTGTTTCGAGAGCCTGTCCACATTCCTTGGCTCATGGCCCTTTCCTCCATCTTTAAGCCAGCAGCATGGCATCTTCAAATCTCTCTCTCTGACTACAAACCCTGCTTCTGTCATCACATCTTCCTTGACTCTGACCCTCTTGTCTCCTCCTTATAAGGACCCTTGTGATTATGTTGGAACTTCCAGAATAATCCAGGGTAATCTCCCCATCTCAAGAACTTTGAGTCACGTCTGCAGAGTCCCTTTTGCCATGTAAGGTAACATATTCATAGGTTCCAGGAATCAGGATGTGGATATCTTAGGAGGGGGCATTATTCTCCCTACCACAGATGTCAATAGAATAGGGTAGCATTTCTATCAAGAAAACAAAAAATTCCCAGAAATTCCCAGTTGGACTGGCGCTGATACCTTGTTGCTCAAAGCTGTATCATGTAGCCACTCTGGTGACAGTTTTGACTGACTCCAAGGGGCCACCTGTCAGAATTGTTCTGCACTGGGCCAAAATGACCCAACCATTAAACCCTGACTTGATCAGTCACTGGACGTGGGGTACCCCAGGAAGGTGTGGCCTTGGCAAAGGTGGTGCTCTGAGACTTTGACACACCCTGCAGTGACTGATGGTTGGAGGTTGTCTGCAGACAGCACACAGCACTCCCAGGTCTGGAGAAATAAATCTTTCCCCAAGATCTGGGGATCTGCACGGTGCCTCACAGTGGTCCCCCAGTCGTGGTTTACGAGCTGAGGTAGGTCTGTATCTATTGCTGTGGAAAAACGTCCACATGTAGCATGATGTAAATAAAACAGTAAAGAAGGTTGGTGAGGTTGTACAACAGAAAGTGACAGGACAACCGTGGGACCCAGGAAGGCTGAACGCCTGTTTCAGCCCTGCCACTCATGTCTCTTTGAAGTCCACGAAGGAGTGAGAACCACAAAGAACAAACACAAGTCTCACATAAGATACTGCTCTATTATCGCTGCTCAGGATCAGTCTTCTAATGACGAGCTTTCTGGTAACCCGGGCTGGATTATGAGGTTCAGAGTCAAGGTTAAGGGCTGTCTCCTCAGAAGCCCAAGTCTTACCTCCTGCGTTGCAAACAACAAACACTGGAGCAAACGAGAGAAAGAGAAGAAAGAGCAAGATCCTTCCATCACTCCATCGGTCCAGGCTTAGGATCACCTTCCCACGCAAGTGGAAGAAGCACAAAGAAGGTACCCAGAGAGTCACACCCGTGTGCGTGACCTTTGACCTTGACCCTATCAGTATTGCAGAATTTGGCCCAATCAGATTAGTATTCCCTTCTCTTAGGGAGAGCAACTGGGGAGAGGAAAAGCCAGACCAGTGTGTACAGTGTTATTCCTTTTATGGTGGGTTTTTGTGTGTCAATTTATATATACACAGAACAAAAATCTGAAAGAATATACACCAAGCATTTAAAAAGGAGTATCTCTGTGGCCTGGTGTCATTGCTGGAATAAAGATCAAACCAGATAGGGCCACTAAAAGATCACTGGAATCAACCAGAAACGTGGCGGCCAATAAGAGCTCTCCTCACAGAACTCCTTCAGTAACTAGAGAAATGTCTGTTGTCCGTTGTCCATCTCCCTAGATGGCTATCTCATAATGTCCTATGTCCATCCATCAGACGGGATAGAATCCTTGGGACTGAAGCAAGGAATACCGTAAACCTTGGCCCTTTCCCCAAACCACCCCTGCCAAGAAATGGTAAATAAATGTCGAAGAGCAGCGGACCCAGGGGGCCCGATTGTGGCCTGCCCGGGGGCTTGTGCATCGCAGTCTGACTTGGATGAAATCATGACAGGATGTCCTTCATCATCTGGGTGCTCTTTTGTGTTGCTTGAATATTTTACAGAAAACAATGAAACTTTCATAGTCAGTCAAAAACAAAGTTATTTCCCCGTGAGAGGCAAAAACAAAAAAAAATTAGAATCTGGAAATCCTGCTAGCTCGCAGGCACCTGGGCCTTCATAACCTTGCTTCGTTTGCCTATTTCCATCAAGGGTATTGCCCAGGGAGCTGGCACCGCCGAAGAAACAAAAGGGATTTGGGGGTCCTCAGGAGGCCTGTGTTGGGATACCAACCACAACCCTGGGACCCAGAGGCCCAGCAGCGAAGGCTCTAGTGACTGATGCTAGACAAATTTAAGGATTCTCGTAGGAAGTAGAGAAAGAGTGAAGAGATGGGTGTGCTGGGGAGGCGGCCTGCTTGGCTGGAGGCCTTTGCTGAGGGAACCCTGGGCCAGAGTATGTTTCCTTGGACTCTGGGAAGGCTGCCTGGCTCCCTGTTTCAAACCAGGTTGGTGCCACAATTAGACACACATGACAGGGTGCTGAGTCATGCTTGGCTCAGCGCGACCTCACATATCACCCCACCTGGGTCCCCAAACCCTGCCCCTGGTTAATTTGTCTTTCTCTGTGCCGGCTGACCCATGCTGGTGGTCTGCCCTGCATGGACCTCCACTTACCCTCACTGGTAATAAAAGGAGGATGTGACTTTAACGCTTTGGTAAGCATGGGTGCTGATCTTAGCGAAGACAGGCACTTCACGTTGATCCCGGGGCCTGGTGGCTGGCTGGGCTGCTCTTAGAGAGCGTCAGGTTCTTGTTTGCCTTTCGAAAAACACCTGGTCCTTTACCCCTTGATGATTCTAAAAGCGGCAGATGACTTACTGAGATAATGCTGTGTGTTCTGATAAAAGCAGAAGAGTAAAAATATGAGATGTCGTCCCCTTTCGTTTTAGCTTGCCTTCTCCCTTACACCCCCAACCAGAGGGCACTCTGGGACTTCCGGCCTGTGGAGCAGGGCTTTTCCTCAAGAAAGACGCTGTTGAATGCTCCTGAGGGGGTCAGGTCAAATGAGGAATGAACAATGTCCTCTGATTTGTGAAAGTGGATGTCACTGGTGAAGCTTGCTGGGGTATTTTGGTGACATTTGATGGGACTAGAAGCCAGATTGGAGCACCTTGGGAAGTGAGTGGAGGTGAGAAAATGGAGTAACTCTATAGACTATTTCTGGGCTCTCAAGGTTAATTGCACTAGTGTTTATTTTTCACCTAATTTCGCTTTGAAGTGTGTTCCTTTTCTTTCCTTTGATGTCTCAGTGGTAGTACTTCTATATATCAGCTACCATTAGGCTTGTTTATTAACTTCCAAAAAAGAATAAAGGGGGAAAGAAAGCTGGAAATGAATGTCAAAAAAATTTTCCCTAAGAGCCTGGACAAGAGTTATAAGAAAGAGAGAAAGATCGAAAGGGATTCACAGAGCTATGTCTACATATTGTAATGACAATAAAAATAGAGGACGAGGTTTGAGAGAACTCTCAGGACACTCTGGTTATGTGCGAGGCACTTAGTAAAGCACTTTGAATATAGTAACTCATTCACTCCCGACTACAGTCCTAGGAAGAAGTTATTATTATTATCCTCATTCTGTAGGTTAAAGGCATTGGGGCACAGAGAGGTTGGGTGAGTTGCCCAAGGTCATCTAAATGAATAGTGGTGGAGCTGGAGGATAAACTCAGGGGTCTTGCATCTTCAGTCTTTATAACTCAATGAGTATGAGTTTAGTGAGTAGAATTAAGTGAATTTGGAGAGGTGGAAAATACAGAGAAAGCAGCGGACCTGCTGTGAGCCGAATCTCGCTGAGGTGAAATGAACGGTGGCATGGGAGAGACGTGGGCGAGTGTCCATTTGGAGAACGGCTCCCAGCCCCTCTTCCTGCGATACCCCTAGCCTTTACTAGGTTCTCTTAGAGACCCTCATAAGGTTTTTGAGGGCAGGGGTGGAAGTATTCACACCTCTCTGAGAGGCCAACCACCTCTAAGCAAGCTCAGGCCTCTGTATGGTATCACCAAGCTACTTCTTGAACAGGCGAGGTGGGTTACTAAGCATAGTTTGACTCAGCTTTGAGGTCTTAGTCCCCATTGTGGGATGACAGGAAAAAATCCCAGTGATAACACGTCATCAAGTTATTTTTCTATTTTGGTACCACGTCCGGCATTCAATGAGTAGTAGCTATTATAATGCTTGTTATTGTAACTTCACAACTGAGAAGAGGGCACAGTTCTCAGGATGCAATGACTGAATAAGGTAGGAGGTAGTTCTGCTGTTTTTCACAGGCGTCTTGGCCGTACGTGAGGGATCGTTTTTGGCTTCTCTGGGACTACACTTTAAGAGGGCTCTGGAGCACATTCAGAAGAAGGTAAACGAATTCATCATTTTGTCAGACAAAAAAATGGTGGAAAGAATTAAGGACGATTCACTTGGTAAAGAGATGACTTGAAGGGAGCATGACACCCATCTTCAAATATTTGAGGAATTACCCTCATGAAAAAGGAAGAAAAGGGATGCTAATGGGCAGAAACTTCAGGAAGATACATTTCATCTCAATATAAATAAGCAACTTCTAACAAAGCCTTGGAAAGTTGTAACAGGCTGCCTTAAGGAGTAATGGACTCCTCAGCCTTGAAGGTAGTCAAGGTGACTAAATATTCATTTGATAAATGATAGATAAGTTGTATATAAATGACTGATTCATAAGTTATAGAGTGTATTTAAGCGTATGGACGATGCCTGATAAAATAGGCACTCAAATGTATCTATTGAATGAATAAATTAATGGAGTTGGAAACTACTATATCCGAGAGTGTCTGTGATCCCATATAATTCTCCAACTCTTGGGAAATCAGAATCATGTTTCAGTGAGAAAGGACGGTTTCAGATCCAGACAGGGCATTGGCCAAGGCGGGCAGGCCAGAGTGGGGACACTGGGCTTGGGTTGGGATGGCATGGTGGTCAGTGGAGTATGAAGTACGAGGGTGAGGACAGTGCTTATAGCCAAACCATCAGCTTCTGATTTATCTTGAGTCAGTCTGAGCTCTTGGTAGCATGATTACTATAAGAATATCAGAGAATACTCACACCTTTATCTCCAAAGGAAATCCCCATCAAAGGACAGGAGACATGGAACCTCAGGTGAACGACCACCCAGGAACTGTAGAACATACGTTCTGGCGAGCGAATCAGCATTCGTAGTAAATGAAACTAAACTTATTAATTCTGATGTTTGCTTTGGAAGAATCTTTTTCTCTTTTTTTTTTTAACGAAGAAACAAGGAGCAGAGTATATACTTAACATTGGCTCTTCCACCTGTGACCCTTGACTAAATGTATCTTTCAGCTTCTCTCTATGGCTCCCTTCTCAAACTCTTCTAGGGCGCTGTGGGAATTTATAAGTTCTGATGTTGCTGATTAAAAGTAGTTTTACAAAAGCCTTGTTGATTTAGGTGTGATGGCTACTGAGTAAATAGCTGTTCTGAATTGTCAAAATATGTTAGCACAACTTGCTGTAATAATATGTTTTGAACTGCAAGGTGGGTGGGTCAACTCTCATCACATTAAATGGGTTCTTTTTTCTTCCCGTGGATTTTCTTTGACATTAAATTGCCATGGTGACAGAATACCAGCATTGCCAAATATATTTTTTCATGGCTGGAAAAAAATATAAACCACATGCAATAAAGCAAACCATGGAAACAGTTTAACTCCACATATCCAGAGCTGACATTCAGACTGGACAAACCAGTCTATGTGCAGGATATATATTCTTGTGGAGTTGGCTACAATACGTGTAGAACTATTAAGATCAAGAGCCAAGAGATAAAGAATTAAGCAAAAAGGTCTTTGTGGTTTATAATTCTAAAAAGGAAATAAGAACAACTCTCAAACTAGGGTGAAGATGAAAGTAAAGAGAAAGGATGATAAAGGTCTTTACCACGTGTAGAATTTACGTGGGAACTAAGGGTGAGCACCACGAATTTGAGCCTTATCATCCAAAGCTGACCCCTTCTCCAGAAGCAGGAATCATCTGGAAGGCACACTTTGTCTAGCTGTCCTTCATCCCTCATTCCAGCTACTTGCTAGGAGTTATTGCTGGCTCCTTACAATTGCTTTATCAGAGAAGAATACTCATAGAAGGTTAGGACTGAAAAGACTTGTAAGATCACATGGCCCAACTTCTTCATTTTACCCATGAGAAAAAACGATGCTCACAAAGTTTCTGTGGTTATCCCTGCCCACACAGGAAGCCGGTGGCATCAACGTGGGTAACAGCTAACAACTGTTGCAACAGGGTTGTATTTTAAGCACCTTAAAGATACTAGGTAATTTAATCCTCTCAACAGGCTCATGAAGTAGATACTAATATCTTGACCATTTTACAGATAAGAAGAATTTGCGTTACTTGTTCCAAGTAAAAGGCAGGAAGTAGCCAAGCAAAGACTCAAACACAGGCATCCATGTTGGAGAAAGTCATGGATTTTTAAAGATAAATTTATGTTGCAATTCTTGCATCGGCATTTACCTGCTATGAGATCTTGGGCAGTTTGCAAAACTGTCTAAGCCTCAGTCCCCCATCTGTAAAAAAGAGTGACTGAGATTATGAATGTCTCAGCATAGTGCCTGGCACTTAGTAAATGCTCAATAAACAGTTGTATTAGGATTGTTATCATCATTTTATTATTTTTATATTTCAGTCCTCTGGAGTCTATCTAGGGCTCTCAGTTAAACTGTTTATCTTATCATCAAATATCTTCCAAACACGTGTCTAAATGTGATGCTTATAAAGCCGTGGACCACATTTGTCAGTACTGGAGCTGCCGTTGGTTAAAAGTACACAGCCTGACCAACAAAAGTAATTAAAAAAAATTGTTTAGTCTTCTCTTTTCTTCTTAGTTTTTGAGTATTGTTAAGGGTATATATGTAGTTTCCAGACTTCTCAACTCGCTTCATTCCTCTCTTAATTCTCTACCCACACGGAAAACAGCTCCTCTCAGTGACTCCTCCTCCTGCCCCCTCCCCCACATCCCCTATATATAAATGTGTAATTGGATTGTATTGCTCAAGGCCACCTTAGGTAAAAACGTCTGTATGTGATCATCACATTTCAGAGTCTACAGTTTCCTTAAAAATCATGTCATCCAATCATTGTTTGGGGAGGATGTGAGTTGAGGGATGTGGGTAGGATTTATGATTTTAAGTTCTAGTCCAGATGATCAGCCCCATTCCAGCATGACTGCATGGTTTATCCTACATACAGATTTTTCACCTTTTCTCAATAGCCAACAATTCTGTCTCTGCCAGTTCCATCAAGCCAACAACTGCCCAGATTTAGAAATGTTAGTCCAGTTATTGATCTATGGGAAATAACAACAGTAACAGTGTTCACCTGGATGTGGAGTTCCATATTATAGAAGATTTCCAGGTAAGGTACGGTGGATTAAAAGCAGCAATATTTTTCTAGTATCAATCATGCTAAAGTTCGGGTGACTCAATGTTCTTACAGATTCTGAATCTCATTAAGGTTGTAACTGTGTCCAAAGTTATTCCAAAATACGTAAGTCTCTATCATGGGAGCTCTTTGCCAAGGTTGGGATAGAAGCTGGTTTAAGAGCCTGGAAGGAGAGACAGAAGGTATGCATGTGCGTGAGAAGGGGAATAATGTTGCAAAACATTTGGAAAGTGACTTTAAATTTCATGAGGATAGGGATAACTTATTATGCAGAATTACTCTAATAGCACATTCAACTCTATAATTCCCAATGATGTTGACGATTTATTCCTTTGTGCTTCTTCTTGTATCCAAAAGAGATGGTTGGTAGAGCCAATCACTCTTTATCTCAGTTTAGATAGAGAAAAGCACAATAATATGGAATCAACAGTAGATCATGGTTTTATCTTCCAAGATATTAAAGCTCAAATTCACTCATTCATTTATTTCATTTACTTATTCATTCATTTATTTATTGATTCATTCATCCATCTAGTCAACAAATATTTATTGAGCACATACTATGATCCACCCAGAAGCGATCAGGGTCTATAGGCTGACTTATAGCAGCCCAAGTGAGAGAATGCTCGTTCATTTCTAAAGAGGGATAGTCTTTTCTCATAATCAGAGTTCTTGGGAATGCCCGCTCTGAGACAACTCAAATTTGTCAGAAGATTGCTTGCAGAATGTGGAATCAAAACCATGATTGTTGTCTGACTTTTTGTTTCTTTCGTTAGACTATGGAACAGTCTGGAACACGTACCTCTGCTATAGCAGCAATGATTACATTCAATATCCATTCTACAAAACTTATCACGTGAATGTTATGAGCCTAGCACTGTATCAGGTACTGAAAAAAAACCCTACCATTTATTGAGCACTTACTGTATACCTCTCAATTTTACAGATCCAGCAGTTTATGTGTAGAAGAATTGTGTAACTCACCCAAGATTACACAACTTTCTTTACCTGTCTCTCCCACCACTTGGTGATGTCAGACAAGCTTCTTCTCTTTCGCACCTCTCCTTACGCACTGGCCTTAATGCCAAGATATCAGCGATTTGCCAGTTAGTCAGCAACACCTAGCATCACAGTGCTTTTCTGCTCTCTATTTCCCCAAGATTAAAGACTTGAAACTAAACATAAATAGAGTTGTGCTTGGTATAAAATAAGACTGATATTACAGGTTGAGCACTGGAGGCCATGGTCTTTGTGTTCTGTTTCATAGAGGCAATAGATTTGCAAGGAACTAGCCAGCCATTCTTTCTGTCTTCCTCCTTCTGCCTCTGTCTCCTCTCTTTCCCCAGAGGCATGTATTGTATTTGTGAGATGGTTGAGAAAGATTAGACTTGGAGGTACAGCCCAGGAAAGGAAACTATGTGAATAGGACACCTCGATCTTGATAGCAAGCTACCCTTCTTAAAGGAGCTAGGTGACTGAACATGCGCCTGTTTTTGGGCAGAGGCTGGGAGAGTCTTGGGAGGTGGGCCAGGTGGAGGGAGGTCTAGGGAGGGGAACATCACAGGCTGGGTCAGTGTGAGGCTGGACTTTCCTAGTAAGAGAGGAACGCGGGCCCATGTGTGAAACATACAGGTCTTACTGACCTGGGCAAATAAAAGTACAAGATTAACATGGAAGACTTAAGAGGGTAAGAATATACAAATCAAATGTGAGGTGGAAAAAGTAGAAATGAACACAATCACATTAAAAGGGGCTTTTACCATTCATATGGGAAGATGTTACATAATTAACAAGAATAGTGTAAAATGATGTTCATCGTCTTGTTAATGTAGGCAGAAAATATTGGTAAGAAAAAAGTTGCAAAATATCATAGAGTATATGACTGCCAAATATAAGAAAAAAATATGTTTATATAGAAAGAGGATCGTAAAATGTTATTAGTGGTTTTCGTTGGGTGATGAAATTATGGTGACCTTTAATTTCTTCTTCATGCATATTTGTATTTTTTGTAAAATATTACATTGAAGGTATTTAAAAAATTTTTTTAAACAGTGGAACCTGAAAAATAAGAATTTTGTCAGTGATTCTATGCTAAAAGCAGGAAACAGTTTATAGCTCTTTAAATTTGGCCACTAAAGACGTGGGCTATTTTGGTCTCATGGCAGACGTTTATAGAACAGGGTGTCCCAGACTTCTGTAAGTCAGACCTGCTGACTCTGTGCTTTGCACACTGCAGTCTGCTGTGGGCATGAAGAAAATCAAAGCTGAACAGAAATTCCATTCGTCCAGTTCTCTCGGAGCCTGGGAAGAGGCCAAGCAGGCCAGCAGAGACGACCAGGATGGTTGTCAACGACTTCTCCACATTTTCTCCTGCTCCCCCACCATCTAGAGCCTAGAGTCTCTTGCAGCGTTGGTTTTCTAGCTACACTGTCCTTCCTTTCCATCAAGCTGTGCTGAGCACCGTCAACCACGAGAGCTAACAGCAAGGAGAAGGCAGAATGTGTATTTTTTTTTTAAAAAAGTCTCAAGACCTCTAGCAGCTCAGCCATCTGAGGCCATTTGGCCTGACCAGTGTGAACACCCATTATGTGACAGGATTCTCCACATCTTAAGAGAAGATATCGTTACAGGATAGAATCATTTGTCTTCATAGTCACAAGTTGAGTGATCAAGAAAAATTAAAATATTGTTGCTAATATTAGCCAATTTATTGAAAACCTTCCGTTTGTCAGGATAATTGTCAGGGCTTTATATATATTTATATATATATTTTCTCAGTTCATCTGTATATTTTCTATTTAAAAAGGCAGGGAAGCATGTAATGTATTTTTAAACAATTTTCATTCAAAATGCTAATGTTTTTTAACTTTGTCACTTAAAAGTGAAACACATGAGCTGCTTGCAATAATAATGCAAATGAAGATCCTTTCCTCATTTTCTTTCCTCAAACTCATTCTGTGATAGTAAAGAAAGACTTAAGCTAAGGTTGGAGAGGTAAAACGAAATGCTAAAATAAAAACACCAGCTGACTGTTTCTGTCGAGTGAGAGATCTTTCCAACTTTTCTTGGTCCCAGAGCATCAAAGATTGTGATTTTAGCCACCCATTCTTTTCCTTGCTGACTCCCGCCACCCTTGAGGACGTAATCACGGTCCCGGTGGCAGCAGGAGTTGAAGGGGCGGGGGGAGAACATCCTTCGAGGCCTCCACCCGCATTCCCCGTCAGCTCGGGTTTATCCTGTTCCGCTCACGAAGTTCTGACGTCACCCTGTCGTCTTCCTCCTCTTTCATTTCCTCATTCTCCTTGGCCTCATCCTGCCGCCTGGCCTTTCGCTGCTCCCCGTTCTCCTGTGCCAGCAGCCAAAGCAGGACATTTGATTAGGACTCTTTTACGGTCAGCAACATGAAAAAATGCAGGTTATAATTACTCTCTTTTCCAGTGGTCATCATTGGTCCTCACCCATCCCTGTGTCATCACGGAGCCTCCCCTCAGTTCTGACCACTTGGAATCCCGTCTTCACTCCTCTGCAAGGGCTCCAGGACTTCTGTCAGTGTCGCCCTTCGAGTGGGTGTTGTTTGCTCGCTGCACCTGTTCAAACCATTGACACCGTTACTGCCTCTCCCTTTGTCTTTGGCCTCCTTGCCTCCAGCCCCACTTCACCTCTATTCTCCATTCTTACGCCAAAGTTTTCTTCTAAAGACAACGCTCGTGCCACACATCCCCCCGACATCTAATACTTTATGGGACTCCATGGAATAATCCAGATTCCTGTGCAGGACCTCGAGTTACATTCGTAGTCTCTCCACCCACGCCACCCCTTCCTCGTAGACTAGCCCCTGTGTGTTCTGGGTTCAGCCTGAATAGATGTGCTGCTCCGGAAGGAACATATTCTATTCCTCTGTGTCTTTGCTTGTGCTGTTCCCTTTGTCTGGAACAATCTCTTATCCTTCGTAACCTGAAAAACTCTTTTGATCTTTCAAGCCTCACTTGACTATTACTTCCTTCTTGAAATCATAAACTTAGCCACCAAATTTATAGGTATTCAAGTGCTTATCTTTGCTCTCAGAGCACTTTGTCTGTATCTCTGGTGTAGCTTCTATCACTATTGTATAATAACGCAGTGGTCTTCGTCTGTAAAATGGAGATAATGATAGTATTTACCTCACAGGGCCGTTGTGAGGATTCAATGTGAATATAGAGAGAGAAACGGGAGCTGCAAACACTTTGTTTTACCACGTGTTAATAATTGCTATTGGCATCGTGATTGTCCTCACTAGACCGTCTTAGCCTCGAGAATAGGGGCGGGTCTTATTCGCCCGTGTAGGCCCAGCACCCCGCCCAGCAGCTGTGTACGGAATTAAACGACCATATTTAGTTCCCTCACTACGCCGCCTCACGGACAGAGATGTTTTAGGGAACAGAAACGGGTTGAAATTCAGGAGCTGTTTTTCGTGCTACAGCAAAGCATTCTGAAAGATGCCTGGGTGAGACTAAAAATAAGAGACTGGGAGAACCCCCAGGATGCTGTACCACCAACACCGCTTAGCTCAGACTCTTTTTTCTTTTTGAGGAAGATTAACCCTGAGCTAACTACTGCCAATCCTCTTCTTTTTTTTTTGCTGAGGAAGACTGGCCCTGAGCTAACATCTGTGCCCATCTTCCTCTGCTTTATATGTGGGATGCCTATCACATCATGGCTTTTGCCAAGCGGTGCCATGTCCGCACCCGGGATCCGAACTGGCAAATCTTGGGCCACTGAGAAACAGAACCTGTGAACTTAACCACTGCACCACTGGGCCAGCCCCTTAGCTCAGACTCTTGTGGTCTCTTTTCTAGATAAGACAGCTCCAAGAGGCCCTGGGACCCTTGGGGGCCTGGGTTTAGAAGGCTTTCAGTGTCATGGGCTTGTCCTCCTTCACTGTCTGGAAAGAGGAGGCAGCCAAACTGAGCCTCTGTCCCCTGGCTGGTGGGTGACTTGTGTTCCTTGCACTGACGAGGAAGCTGGGAGAAGCAGGGCTGAATGAGCCCGCAGCCCGGTGAGCTTATTCCCTGGGGATTTGTCAGGCTGCTTTGTAGAGCCTTTCCTCGGGGCCTGTGAACTGTAAATTGAGATAACTTTCTTACCATAGGTCCCTATTCATTCCATCATTCAAGTACCACACAGAACGAAGCTCCCTTGGCTGTGTGTCAAGGCCCACCGCCATTCATATACCATCGGCTCCAGCCTCCCTGTTCCCCAGCCCTGTGCTTTCCGGTCTCTGTGCCTCACCCCACCCTTGAAATGCCCTTTCCCCATCTGCATGTCCATACCTTACTCATCTTTCAAGGTCATCTGAAACGTGAACTCCCTTTACTATGGGGGTCAAGGCTTAGGATGCATCCACAGTCCCTTCTACCAGTCCCACCAGTAACCCCACTTCTGAGGGAAGTAGCCTACGTGATCACTTAATCACAGCTCCCCGGCTGAGTCGTGGGGACCCTCTCCCTCCACCACTGCTAACTAGGCCAGGAGTGGAGTGGAGCTGGGCCGGCAGGTTGTGAGGTGAGCAGAGGACAGCTTTGCCGACAGGGATCTGACCACCTGGACCAATCGTATTTTCTCTCAGGCAGTTTTAACCTAAGCTAAAGAAATACCTGTGCAGTTAGCAGAAGGCGGGCAAAGAGGCCACCAGGCAACAGGTCCTTGAGAAGTTGTCAGCAAACAAAATCCACAATTAAGCAAAATCCAAAAGATAAGTGCAGTAAAGGGTGAGGTCATTAGTTGATAGTAGCAGGAATAGTGGGCAGATGTGGGGGACCCCAGGACCCTAAGAACAATTACCTCATCACCTGTGCTCTGGTAAATCCTGAACCCCGTTCTATTTCCATCCTACTCTCCCGACCCATGGGTTCCACTGAGGACCAGCTACACAATTTGCAGGGCCCAGTGAAAAATAAAAAAGCAAGGTTTCTTGTTCAAACATTATTAAAGAATTTCAAGATGGTAGCCTTGCTTGTAATAAACCAAGTGAGTCTCTATTCCTCGCAACTATAGTAGTTTGACTAAAATAGTCCCCCCTTAGCTGTTGATCCCCTTCATTGGTGACTAATCTGGCTTTGAAGTGAGTACAACACGTGGTTTGTTCTTAACTCCCATGGCATTTTATTTATAACCTCGACGCACTTGGCACTTTCTCTCCTGCGGTGGTGACTTCTGAGGTGTCTTACCCACCCCCCTCCAGGAGAGTGAGGTGTTTGAGAAGCAGATCTGTGTCTGGTTTGTCTTTGTGGCCTCACAGCCTCCTTGTGTCCAGCTCACTTTGTTATAGCAACTAACTAGCAAAGGGATGGTCTTCTTTCCTTCTGTTTTGAAGCAGGTTACCAAGAGTGATTAGTTACATGAGCAAGGACAAGACTCAGCTGCCCAGTTCTTGGGATCATTCCTTGCACAGATACGTCCCTCGTGTTAGAATTATCACAGCTGGGCACATCCTCCCATTAAGGGACCAATGACATTGGTATCACAGGTATCATGCTCACAGGTGTTCATTTCAATGATTACATAAAGAGGCTTTGGGGCTCTTGAGTGGGTGAAATAGGCTTATGGGTTACGTCACCTTTATTAAACCCTTAACTTTGTGTCAGGAACTGTGTTTTTAAAGACTTTGTCTACATCAGCTTCCTTAATTTGATTCTCACCATGGACACAATAAAGGAGAGCCATTGTGTTCGCTGGACAGTGGAAAGAACTAAGGCTTAGGTTACATTGGCAAGAGTGATAAAAACAGCAGATGGCACAGCCGAGATCATTGGTCCATGCTCTCAACCTCTACACTCGATTGCCTCATCACTGTGGAATTTCACCAAGCCTACAAGAGTGGTCCTGGACAAAACAGAGTCCACTGCTCCCCTCCCTCCCTCATTTGAGACATCCGTTCCAGCTCCTTGGCAGTTGCCACCTTTCCCACAGGTGTCCACTGCCAGAACGCTTCCCCCGACTCCTGTTATTCGAAGAAAAGAAGCTCTCTGCTAAACGCAGTAGGGTTTCCTAGTATTTGCATTAAAAAAAAAGAGAATATTTATTCAATCTGAAGTGTGATGCTTTTAAACTTGACCTATAGCAGTGACCCTCAAGGCAGAGGAAGATGGTCAATCTGCCACTCCAAATGGAAGTTTTCAAGTCTTGCATATTATTTGTAAAATTCATGAAAATTTTGTGTTCTTCTCCACATCGTGTTTATGTTGGAGTTAAAATAATTACTTTCATTAAAGTAATGAAGTGATATATTCCGATCATTTAACTTGATTGGAGTATAAATCTTATTAAGTTATTTAACTCTACATCCAATGCGCCCCAAATCTCTTAGTAAAATGGCACTCTTGGAACATGTGCCATATCTATACCGTGGTTCTTTTTTTTTTTTTTTGAGGAAGATTAGACCTGAGCTAACTATTGCCAGTCCTCCTCTTTTTGCTGAGGAAGACTGGCCCTGAGCTAACATCTGTGCCCATCTTCCTCTACTTTATATGTGGGACGCCTGCCACAGCATGGCTTGCCAAGCTGTGCCATGTCCGCACCCAGGATCCAAACCGGCGAACCCCGGGCCACTGAAGCGGAACACGCTCACTTAACCGCTGCGCCACCGAGCTGGCCCCTATCCTGTGGTTCTTATGTCCACCGGCTCACTCCTCAATCCCACACTTTTTTTAATTGAAAAGTAATCCATTAATAAATTGTTAAAAGCAGAATGTGGGCACCAGAGAGGGAGTGAGTGGTGGAGGAAAAGGATGTCTTTCCTGGGGACCTCAGTTTACACTTTGCTGTCCCATTTTCCCGAAGATGCCCCTCCAGGTGTCTGAGTGACATGTTGAGAAGCAAGAGTGAGATGGATACTAGTCCTGTCTGGGCTGTTCAGCACTCACCTGATGTAGGGCTTGGGGTTGGGTTGGGTTGTCATGCTTAAAAGGACCACTGACAACTGGAATAGGTCTAAAGAAGTGACTCAAAACCATGACAGAACAATAACAGCCAACTCTATTGGAGCGCTGAAAACCAGCGAGACATTTGGTGTTTTTTAAAAAAATATATATCATTTTGTTGAATATATGCAGTAGGCTTTTGAGATATTATTGTCATCTGACTTTTACAGATGAGAAAATTATGACCCAAAGAGACTGAATTGCTTGCCCGGGGTCCCATACTAATATCTGGTAGATGACTTGGCGGTGTTGTTGACTGCCTACTCAACTGTCATTCCCTCTTTCCTTGCTAACAGAGCCATGATTGGGTTCTTCTTCTTGTAAGAGACC